TGAAAGCGAAACTACTTTGTTTGATTAATAATAATAATATTATTATTATTATTATTTCCGTCACACGCTTGAGGTATTCTGCCAATCACAACGCACTGGATAGCTGGCCAATCAGAGCACACCTCGCTTTTCAGACCGATGAGCTTTGTAAAAATCGACGCGTTTCAGAAAGGCGGGGCATAGAGGAGAAACAATAATGTACAGTATGTGGAAAATAATGTGTTTTTTGATCCTTAAACCGCATAAACACATTTCATTACACCAAATACACAAAATAATGTTCTTTTTAGCAGCATCATATGACCCCTTTAATTGAGATAATGCTGTCATGAAAAATCAATACGAGTTCATCATAGAAATTAGATGTACCTTGCTGGTGAAATGCCTTATAGGTAATGCTGCAGAGCCAAAATGGATTTCCTTCTCTCTTTAGGTTCATCGGTGGCATGCATGCTGCGAGATCTGTTGAACGCCATCCAAATGAATTCAGCAGACAAATTTTTGCAGTCGACCTCACTGACGCCAATTAGAGTCGTATATAGATCACTGCCGACTGTTCTCAGATGCCCGGGATGAACCAGGTGCTTTTGTTCCTTGCAGGCATTTGCTTTGATCTCTTATGAAAAGTTTTTATGAGTAACTTGAAAGAGCTGATGAGTCTATCATATGATTAAGTAAAAGTTTTGATTGCTAACAACTTCATATATTTTTCAGTGCTTTTAAAAAACAGACTGATTTCTTTAGTGTTTCATTAAAATTTATAATTTTAGATGTCTCTGAACTCTCATATCTAGTGGTGTTTATGTGCAGTTTAATTGTTGATATACATCTAAATTTTTTTGGAGTGTTAATTATTGAATATTTCATTTTCGGTTATTTTCAGAATACTTTTTATATGTATTTCAGTTTATATGCATAGATTTTTTTTTTTTATTTGTGTTTTCTTTTTTTGTGCTTTTCACATCTTTTAGCATTGTATTTAGGCCTCGTGGCATGATGTCTCTTGGGGCGTTAAACAGTTCCAAGGAGTGAAATGTAAAATCGATTCACTCCAGCTTTTTGCGTGTATGTTTTACATAAACTTGCCACATGATAAAGCAATTGGTTTTTGGATTTAAGCCTTTTTTTATGTCCCTGGTATGTCTCCGGTGACATGTGATCCCTACAGGTGAGACTCTCTTCAAAGGCCCCGTCAAGACAGGCCATTCCAGATAAGGATGATTACGGCTGCTCATCCCGAAATGAATTCCAAAGGTCAAGTGTCCTGAGAACTGCCTCCACAACTACAGAGGGAAAAAATGCAATGAAAACCTTCACTGTTGATATCAAGTCATTCAGATTCAGATTAGTCACAGTGTCTGAGCACTGCAGCGCAGGATGTTTTGCTCTACAGCCAGGGAAGTTAAGACGGTATGAAATCAGCCGTGAAGACTTTCCACTCCAAACGGCTAATAAAGTGCAGCCAGGGTGTCGATTCAACTCATGCATTAAAATCATCTAGATCGGATCCCTTTCAGATCTAAGGGAAGATACTGTTTGTGCCCTACGGATTGTTCAGAGTTTTGAATACACATGCTTTATTCATTGGTCATAAAATAATTATCAAGGAATGAGCTGGAAATTGGAGTAGTTATTGAGTTACTTTCCAGTTAGCGTTTATCGTCTCCACTAGCCGTAGGGATGATGCTCGCGTCGCAGTTCTTCTCTCGTGTCGGAATATTAATCTAACCAGTAATTCCTTGATAAAGTTACGCTTTCGAAATTCTCCATTCAAGGCTCAGGGGGGCCGTTTTTGAATACCAATGAAGCAGTGCTTTCTAAATTGAAACAAAACAAAGGACTGAAATGTGAAACTGATAGAAGCCGTGCAGGGTTTGGGGTTTGCGGCTAATCACCGAGCATTCGGATGTAGATGAGGTTTGTGTGCCTTTGTCAGGCAAAGGTGAGGGTGACCGTGTGTTTCAGGGGGTTTTAGAGACAATGAAAACAATTCTTTTTGATTTATGGGTAGAGAGAGATGCTCTCCAGAGAGGGTGGAGGAGAAAGGTCTCTCTAAAATTAGACCAGGTATTATGTGCTGTGTTATAGCTTTATCACACACCCTCACGGCGCGGAATGACTCTGTTAATCAAACCGAGTGTCATGTCACACCGCCACGGCAGGTCTGCTCCACATACGCAGATGTGCATACTGACCTGGAATGTTGCAGGTTTCTGGAAAGGAGGTTTATAATACGTGGAGAGAGAAATATCTGTTTGCATTCCGGTTCATCTTAATGGCAGTTGCAATGCACTGCAGAAATGTACTTGAAGGAAAATTGTGTGAGCGGTATTTAATTAGCATTAAAAAGACATGACATAAATACATGGTATATTTGCTGCTTTGATGTAGCTTATATATTCTGGTTTCTTTTGTTTACATATATTTTTTACAAGTCTTCATGAAATCAAAATGAAACTTGTTTAGTTTGTTAGCATACATTGTTAGTCTTGAGGTGAACAATTCATCCATGCAAGTTAATCCACTGAAAAAAAATAGTTTGTCTTGGTAATCTTTAATCAAAATCTCAACATTTGCTTACGCTCTGGAATGGCATTCCTGCTCTGATGACGTCAGTTTGATGCTTGGGCCATGGCATGGCTTGGGCAGAATATGCTTATCCATGCTCCTCCAACCATTAGTTTGCTATGAGTGAGAGATGGAGAGGAGGAGGGCTAAAATAAAACCCTGCCGTCTATTCAATATTCTGTTTCAGTTGGAAATACATCACTATACTGAAATGAAGTTCAACTTCCAGTTCACGCGGACTTTAACTTATTTCTTTTTTTTTCTTTCTTTTTTTGCATTTAAACATTATAATATAATATAATATAATATTCATCCATTCTGTATTGCTATATTAGGATATATTTTTGTATTTATAATGTTATGATGCAGGGTAAGAAATCACTGCATGATGTAGCCTATAGCATGAAGTTCAAGATATTGGAGCAAAAATGCCCCTGTATGGGTTTTTGTTTCAAATTTATATCATACCATATAGTTAAGCAATATCACATGAGCAATGAGTGCTGTTTTTGTCCTGAATAGCATGAATGCAAATATACATTTTATACAAGACTTTAATTAATAAGAAGTTAGTCAATTATTTTAGACACAGTATTGTTGTCTGTTTTTGCTCAACTTTGCCAACAAAAATATAATTCATAAAGCCACAGCAGAACTGTTGTGCATTTCTGTGCAACACAGAACTTTCATTTTTGGGTGAACTGTCCATTTAACACCCATTAATAATCTCACTGCATTATTTATGGCATTTAAAATTGCAGTGTAAATGCATTCATGCTATCTCCGAGCTGCAATAAACGGTCTGTAAATACCAATTCAAATTCAGCAGCTGATAAAAAAAATCATGGTAACTGTAGCCTATAAGTTTAGGTGTAATAAATTCGATGCTGAGTCAAATAAATATTTCTTTCTAAAGCTATGTTTATTTGATTGCTTATTTTCCAATCAGAATCAAGGACTGGAACAGTTTAATATAATATAATATCATAGATCCCTGGTTTGAAACCTTTGGGGTTCACATTGACAGCAGACTGGATAAAAACACTGAGACTCTTCATCTTTTTAAAAAGGGCCAGAGCAATGAAATCTCAGGTTTTTCTCAGGTGTATGTAGCTGCACGTGTTCTTTCAGTCTGTTGATGTGACTGCCTTGTTCTACACTGTAGTGAGCTGGGGCTCTGGGAGTAATGCTGGAGATGAACAAGCTCATCAAGAAAGCAGACTTTTTCACTGGAGAGGAACAGAAGAATCTGGAGGTTGTAGAGGAGAGGAGAATGATGTCCAAGCTGCTGGACAACATTATGGACAGCACTCTCCACCCCCTCCATGACATGCCTGTAGGAATGAACAGCATGTTCAGAAGCAGGCTGATTCAGCTGTGCAACAAAAAGCACTACAGGAAAGCCAATCATAGACATAATTCATCAACCATGTGCAGAGGCACTGTTGACCTTTATAGAATTAGGATCCTGCTCTCAGTTGTTCTTGGGCACAACATGAACAATCTTAAAATGCATGCATGCAGTTTAAGGTTCTGTACAGTTAAAGCTGCTTCTGGCTTTCACAAATATTCTGGTTATGACACATGCACAATAGATGCCTTTCGTGATACCTGTGCAAAGTGTGTCAGGGAATGTTTATTCTTCTACACTCTAAAAAATTGGGTTGAAAAGGGACAAACCCAGCTATTGGGTTGTTTTGACCCAGCGGTTGGGTTTGTCCCTTTTTAACCCAGCGCTGGGTTATATTTAACCCAGCATTTTTTAGAGTGTATAAAGGTTACTTTAAGCATTATCTGTAATTATTATATGTCTGCACCCAGAACACCCTGGGATCTGGAACAGTGTAGGCGAACAAACACGCACAGACTGATGCTGTAACTGACAGAGTCTCCTGCTATCTCTGTCAGTGTGCTGTGAGGGGCTTTTTGAGCGCATGATATAGAGATATTGAGACATATTTCATACTGTATCTGTGGACGTAAAACTCCTCCTCTGCTTGTTGAGGGCCATATTTCTCTGGGCTCTGACAACGTCGGTGTGTTTCATGGCCTGTTTAAAACAAAAAACCATTTGCTCAAATTCACAGTGTTCATATTATTGCTAATTTTCCTAATTTGAATAGTCGTGGCGTGTACTGCAGCAGTGTGCTCTGAAATTCTCATTAAATGATTACTGATGAATGAAGTTTTATCACACTAATCATTACTGCTCTCCTGAAGTGTTAGTGTGAATGTTCTCACAAGCAGAAATGTAAACTCGCACCACAAATTTGCTCATAAAAGTGAGCTTGTTAAAATTCTCAGCTTTTGGCGTTAATGTTACATGTGCCTTCTAACTTTAATTCAAGCTGTGAACCTCACAGAAGTTCATGTAGTTTAATGAAGATGGTTTTCTCATGAAATACCTTGCTTCTGTGCTTGACTGTTTGCAGATACAGAATGCTGATGATGTCCTGATCACACCCTTGGAGAGATTCCGGAAAGAGCAGATCGGAGCAACCAAGGTAAGTCATCCTATATCACTTTAGACAATAACCAAAAATACCCTGGTATTTGGTCTAGGTACCAGCGAGGCTAAAATATGCTACTGACTTATTTATGCTTGTGTGTGTGTGTTTGGAAACGTGTTTGCGTTTAGACAGGACAAATCTTATTTGGAATATATTTAGCTAAAATCTGCTACTGGGTTATTTAGGATTTAAACTAGTCCTTATAAGGTTTTTGCTGTTAGCATGTTTTGATGGATATAATAAATACCTGAACATAGTAATGTTTTATGAACGTTTAGCCATTACAAGAGTGCCTTAATACCTAAAAAGTACATGTTTGCCCTGCCATTTATTATTTAAAGTATCTTAGAATACCAAGTAAATACCGTAGTATATGAATACGGCAACAATTCATTATGTTAATGTACATCAAAACACTGTTACTACTGTGTATTTATGATTTAAATGATTCCTTATAAAGTTTTCACTGTTAGCATGATTTGATGCATATATTAAATACATAAAGAGAGTAATATTTTATGAATGTTCAGCTACTACAAGTCTGCCTTCATACAACTAACAAATAAGGAGCTTAGTATTACAATATACTTTTTGCTAGTACTGTGTTATTATGTGAAGGAACAATTCTTTGGTAGTGTATATATTGAGAGATATGGTAATACCATCATTGTACCATGGTACGGTCACTGTACTTCTCAAAAGTGGTATGAAATTGAGGCTTATAGTGCTTTCAATGTGTTGTATTGTGTAGGCCATCAGGTCACTTCCAATTTTTGCATCTGGCAGAATAACTGACTGTAGCATTGTTTGTTGAAGAAACAAATATGTGAACTTAGCATGTTTCCTAAAAATCTGCAAATATATTATGGTATTTTTATGCTTTAGTTCAGTCAAAAAATTAAATACAATGCCTTTAAAATAGTGATTAAGCAAGATATATTGTGTGGAAAAGCATAAATAAACCATCATCTTAAAAACATTTGTATTGTATGTTTTAATGCAGGTACTGGGCCTCATTTACGAAACGAACATACGACAGAAAATTGGGCGTACGGTCGTTTCAACGAAAAACTTGGAATTTATCAATATGGACGTGAGCGGTGGCTACGATCAAATCTCACGTCTGGTCTCCGCTAGTGTTCGCAAGTTTTTGAGTTACCTGAACTTGCGCGCAGCATAGTAAATACGGTGGAGAATTGTAGAATGACAGCATTTTGTTCATTTTTATTTTCCTAACCGTCAAACGAAGCTCATTAGTCGATCGTTAACCAGTAAGATTAGGATGTCTTTTTTTGTTGTTGTTGTTGTTTTGTACAGGGCTTTAGCTTTATATGCGCAAATAGCAGCATAAACAAGACCGTGAGGATTCAATCGTCGCATCATGCACCTGCAACGCTTCTGTGAAAGCAGAAAAACAGAAATTAAGTCTATAAAAGGAATAAAATAAATAGGATCGCACAAAATATATAATAGGCTATAATATAATTAACAGATTAACAAAAGGAAACACTGTGCAACAAGTATAGGCTACGCTCGTTTTTGTGACACTCTTAATGCATTTTATTACTTTTCTTTATATCTTTATTTGATTTATATCCATCTGATCGCACAGGCACCTCACGCACACAAACAACATGAGTTCTACCGTCGCCTGACATTTCAGCCATTCATCATCAAACTAAAATGCAGTAAACCAAACAAGTTACACTGTTTATTTAAAAAATGTCCTCTGTAAAATCAGCGTGCAGTGCCCAAACAAACATTTTTGTGCATGTGAAGGATTTTACACGGATATTAGAACATGAGTGAAGTATAATGTTTAGGCTACATAATGAATAATAGTTATGCAAACAAATGTTACAAATATGGCAAAAATGGAAACATTTGGATTCTTGTGGTATGAGACAGGCTCGTGAGCCATTCAATGTCATTTCAGTTTTTCTTGACATTTGTATGCTGTTTATAATGAATGCCACTATAGCCTAATTTGTTTTATTTTATAGTTGAATATATCATTTTATAACTACTTATTTTTCATTCTTGTTCTGTTCTGAATACCGTTAAATTTAAAATATTTGTTGTAGAGTGACGGGAACTAAATAGGCTGTTTATATTTACGAGTATTTTAATATATATATAAATTACATAAATTAATGTAGCCTAATTGTTTGCAGTTACAAGGTTACTGGGTGTTTTTGGAGTAAGATCAATTTCTCTTTGACGAGATTACTTCCTCTTTTTGGCCGCGTTTCGTTTCTCCGTGTCATAAACTCTAGGGGTGAGGCTTCTAGACCAGGTTGTTTTTAGGGGCGTGATATTCAAATGACGATTGTTTTCTGCCGCCACATTTATCAATGTGCGATCATTCATACGATGAGATTGGCGGCATACGAATGTTTACTGAATCACACGTGAACTCTGTCGGAAGTTGATTTGTGCGCACAGATCTACGCTCGTTTCTACGTTAGATTGATAAATGAGGCCCACTGTGTGGTACTGCAAATTACTGTGGTGGTACCATAGTAAAATAATGAAATCATATAAGAAATACTATGATGTGCACCTAGATACAAAGATACTTCAAAGATACTACACAGCATGGCAAACATGGTAATTGAATTGCACTTTTTAGTTAGTGGTATGAAGGAACTCTCGTAATGGCTAAACATTCATAAAATATTATTATCTTCAGACATATAATAATAATAAATTCAAACCATGCTAACAGCAAACACCTTATAAGGAATATTTTAAATCATAAACAACGCAGTGGCAGATTTTGGTGGAACATAGTCCAAACAAAACTTGTCCACAGTCTACACACAAACACGTTTCCAAACACACACACACATACACACACACTTGGCTGCCTCGCTGTAAGGTAGAAACTCATTATACATTAAAATAAGCAACATCAAAATGTTCAGCAGTTTGAGCCCCTTGGGGTCTGAAAGATCACACGCACATATTCAGTCACACATATATACAACTACACTCAGTCCGAAATAAATATATACCTATACACTCAAACACACATGCTGAGTGTCTTCCTTGGGGCGAGTGTTAGGTTCAACCATCTGTATATAACCCAGGTCCTCTGATTTATATTCCTACCTCAAAGCCACTTTTGATTTATTTTGCATGAAAAGGGTTTGTGCATGTGGCTTGTGCTTTGTGTAAGGTTCACTTGCAGGACCAGAGGACCAGTATTCTCTCTGCTTTTGAGCGGATGGGTGGACACAATGCAAGCAGAGGCGGATTCTCATTAATTGAGATCAACCATTGTGGTGTTGTGAAGCTCTCTCTTACTTTTCAGTACAAAAAATATATATATAGTATAGTGGGTATAGTTTACCCCAAAATATCAATTTTGTCATTATTTCCTCCCCACATGATTTTCTTTTCTTCTATGGAAAACAAAATGAAAAATTTAGTAGAATATTGATCCTCTTCCATAAAATAGACTTTATTCGTGAAAATAGGTAGAATGTGTAAATCCTGTATAGATTATACAATTGTTGTTTGTACCTAATTATGGAAAGGAATGATTTTAGAAACAAAATCAATGTTTCATGAATTCACATTGTTCGCTGCAAATCTTCAGCTGTGGCAAAGCTTTATATTTGTGCCAGGATTAATATCACATAAGGTCAAACGCTTCCGATTGTGATGCTGCAACTTTGATTATATAGTAGTGCAAATTAGATTTGAGAGCTAATGAGAAAATCCTCTCTCACACACACACATACACACACACACACAAAAGCTGTTTTCAGAATATATATATACTAATCATGCCTATATATTATATATAGGCATGATTTTATATGCCTTTTTTATTGTACTGTTGTATATCTCACTCTGTTTTTGTAAACTAAACATTCACCTCAACCTCTCTCTGCAGAAAGTGCACTTATCACAGTCATCACCCAAGTCTCTTCTTTCACTCTTTATCTCCTTTTCAACCACTTGCTTTTAATAGCTTATACCTTTCTCCTCTACTATAAACATACTCTAAATGTGGAGAAAGGATTGAACACTAGCTGTGGAGTCAGGAGCCTTACTAAAGGATTATGGGAATGTGGAGGATCGGCCGGCTGCCAGACCTCCTTCTTGCTCAAATTTAGTGTTCAGAAGGTGGTTGGGAGGTATAGACGCCCTTATTAGGGAATTACAGCCTTGCTGCAGCTCCAGCTGGTTAACGGAGTGAGGTCAGTGGCCGATAAAAGGGCCGCTCAAGCCCAAAGCCCGAACAATTTATTTCCTGTTGGCCAAACACCTCGGCACGTCACAGGAACAAGGTTTTTACTAGTGCTGTCAAACGATTAATCGCATCCAAAATAAAAGTTTTTGTTTACATAATATATGTGTGTATACTGTACACATTTATTATGTATATAAATACAAACACATGCATGTATATATTTAAGACAAATATGTTATGTTTATATAATTATATTAAATATATTTATGTATATTATAAAATATGATAACATAAATATATAAATGTATATACATGTAAATATTTTCAAAATATATATTGTATGTGTGTGTATTTATATATACATAATAAATATACACAGTACACAAACATATATTATGTAAACAAAAACTTTTATTTTGGATGCGATTAATCGGTCTTGACAGCACTAGTTTTTACTATGGGAGAGCAATTACATATGGGTCGTCAAAGCTCAGAATCACAAGCTGTGCAATTTTAAAGGAACATGAGGACAGATTTTGTAGAATTGTAGTGTTCGCCCTTCTCCATATTCAGTTACAATGAATGTTTATTATTTATTTTTATTTTTTGCTGTTTTAAAACAAATACTCGACTTATTGGTATTTAGTTTTATTTTTCACATTTGTCTTATTCACTTTTCCCTTCCTCTGCAAATGTCACTCACTGGCACATACGTATCTACCCCAGAACAGAAGTTAATGATCTCAGCTAATGGTGTTAAGACTGGCATGTGTAATTCCCTGTGAGCCAC